TGTGTCTGGAGACACAGCCAGAAACTATGTTTCTAACAATGTTCGTTGGAGCGACGGATTTGGAAAATGGCAAATCAACAAACTTTGCAATGAAGGAACTTGCGACCTTAGTTGGCTAACAATAGCTTTGGGAAATGCACCCCTGTCCAGTTAACCTAATTAACATAGTTAGGTTTTAAATGTCACTTTAAGCTGTATAGCTGTGTCTTTAAAAATATCTATTTATAATATATCTATTATTTACTGTCAGATAAAATAAATCAGTTGTTAGAGATGAGTTATTAATTATTATGTTTAGAAATTCTTATAATTCTGAAATTAACTGTATATAATATATAATACATATTGACGTCCTTAATTACACTTTTTTGTCATCTAATGCTTCAAATTATGTCAATAGTAGACTACAGTACAATATATGACATGAAAAACTGAAAATTCTGCCATCATTTACGCCTACCTTTACACAAACCTGTTTCTCTGTTCTGTTGAATATAGAAGAAGAAATGTTTTTTAAATATTGGACACCTGTAAACATTTACTTCTATACTATTTGTTTTTCCCATGGATGTCAATGGTTGCCAGTTTCTAACATTCTTCAAAATATCTTCATTTGTGTTCGACAGAATAAGAAAATGGTTTGGAACCACCTTTCGGAACCATAGTTTGTGGGTTAACTGTCCCTTTTAGTGTATATTTTCTGTAAATAGTATTATAGTCTTCATTTTTAGTCAGAAAATGATACTGTTAAACAGAACATGTTCTAATGTACAAGAAATAAAAATAAAGCTGCATTACCTCTATATAAATAGTTATCGGATTATTGACTTATTTTTTTATGTTTAAATAATTTGTTTGTTTTTGGCCTGGTTATATAGATGTCTTAAGAGATTAGGAGAATATGTTGTGTCTATAAACTGAACATATTCAATATTTTTAAGTAGGTACATTATTTTTATCCATGATTGTCCATATTGTGTCTTTTTGAACAATTTCCTTATACTATTTGCTCCAAATTAATGTTTATATTTTAATATGCATGTTTTTATTTTAATATGCTAAAATCTCTATGAAAAAAAAAAACAATGAGAAACTAGAACTGTTTTAGAAATTGTTTTTTGTTTAGTGGTGCTAGTCTTAATCCTGCCCTAAATGGTAGGATGTTAAGGATTTTAAGCATTAAACCTTACCTTAAGATCTGATTGGTTGATTTGAATATTATTGCTCTAGGGCAAACGAGGATGTTGATCTAAGAACATTGATCTAATTCCTGCTTTGGTAAATCTTACTAAGCTTCTCACCCATTAAATTAGAAGAGTATTATTACATCAGCCTGTGTTAATGCACATTTTATAGTATCAAATGAGAAACAAGTAATATAAATAACAATAATCTCTTAATTTGCCAAGAAAAAATGTATTAAGCATTCTTGAGTTGGTTTTGGATTTGTGCAAAAATGTTAATGAAAATAATGACAGATGTGAATGCATTTTTGAATACACTCAAATGCAGCAAAAATTACTCTTATGTGAATTCATTATGATTGCCTTGTTTACCATTGGTTACTTAGTACTACTATAAAATACTATAGTCAGCCACTATAAAACAATATTCACTTTTTTTTTTTTTTTTTTTTGCAAACTTTGAAAAGATTCATGTTAGCATAGAAACCTGGTTATTGGCATAACCCACACCATTAGTGATAGTATAGCAAATATATTGTCTATTTATTCTATATAACATACTAGCACTCACATATACTTTGTTGTGGTTACCAGCAATTCAGCCTGTGCGGGTCGCTGAAGAACTACATATCTGCCACTTTAATGAACTACAAATGCCATAATTCACTTCTCTTACACACCTTGTCAATTTTACCCATGATTTGCAAACACACAGCTCAAGCAGTTCAGGATAAATCAGTTAGACTATAAACACAGCATACACACACATCATTGCTGAGTCTTATTTCTGTTTTAGAACATCATGCAGCATTTCCTTTGCTTATGTCTAGCCGTGTTTTGACCTTATTGCCTTATGTTACCGTTTATATTTGGTTCTTTGCCACCTGCACTGACCTTTTGCCTGTTTTGACTACGTTCTTGGATGACCTTTATGCTACCTGTTTGACCGTTGCCTGTCTGACTACTGATCTTAAACTACTGCATTTGGATCCTCACCTCTGTTGTTCCAGACCCTTACGTGACATACT